AACGATAGCTTTTATAATACTAAATTAAGAATAAAGCAACTTGAATATATTATATATAATGAATTAATTCCAAACCTAATTACAAAATGCACCTTGGGAGCTATAGTGTGCACTTAGAAAGGGTGTGTATTACTACTAGTATCCCGAGTCTTTCCTACATCTATTGTGTTAATTTATTATAGGTCTGGGCTGTAAAATCATATGCACGTGTAGAGATTGATGGTGCACTCCAAGCATGGCTATAGTGAACACTTAAAGAGCGCGTCACTTAGGGAGGTTTTACTATCTCAAATTAAACTCGGCACCTTTTTTAAAAATAATTTTTTTGACGATTATGGACGTTTCTCAACAATGAAATTTCGAAACTTTTGAACATTGAAGTTAAAGCAAAAGTTTAATTTCTTTCGTGTTCAATTCACTGATGAGGCACAATAAATCACATGATCTAGAACAACTGAATATATTATGTAGTATAATAAAGTAAATTACTATTATGAAGATATTTATACCCGCTTCGAGGATGTCTATTAAATCAGAAAATGAATTAAAAGAAAATATTAACAATGCATCCCAACAAAATGAAAATGCACTATTCATCGAAATTATAAATGAGGCAGATTTAGAGATAAAAGATTTTTAAATAAATTGGGTTCAATTAATCCATCTTTAGCTGACGAATGGTGCTAATTCTTTCATTTCTTTAACAATTGCATTGAAATTATTGAATCGAGTTTAATATATCTCGATAATATTATATTTTACGAATTACACTTCAATTCAAAAAAAAAAAAAATCAATTCATATAATAGTTTAATATCGAATTAAATATAGAATGGGTGACACCTCTAGCAAGTTTCAAAGGACGAAGAATTAGCCGTAGGATGTTACCTTCTATATTTAATTCTTTTTTTTTTTAAAAAAAAAAAATTACGTTAAATTAGTCCTTGCAATATGTAATATAAAAAGATTTTTTTCATTTATTATAAAATTTACATGTTTTACATTTATCAAAAAAGTAAAAAGAATATGTATATAAATACTTATTTTTTTACTGAAAAAAGTATAATATAAAAAACAATAGAACTAATAAACACCTAATTCTCAAAATAAACGAAACGAATTGTGTAAAAAAATTTTGTTCACATTAGTGAAATGTTGCATTTCTCAAAAAGTACTTTAAAGTGTATAAATAAGTTACCCGGGCAATTGATCTACATTAGCCAATCAGACGAATTTCTGTTTATGAGACAAAACTATATAAATTAGCTGCCGAGCTATTGAATGTGATTTTTTAACCTTTAATTTACCGTTACGATTTACTAATGGCACCAATTACTCGTTCAAAAAACTTTATGGCAGCGCAAGAAATTTTCAAATCTGAACTTCGTAAAAACAATTCCGACGTAGAAATTTTGCATGCAGTAGATAAACTTTGTTTGAAAAAATATAATATTAACACTGATAAATTCATACGTCACTGTATAAAGAGTACCAGTCATATATTCCAAATAATTTTAATTATTTGTTACCGTAATGGTATATGGGTCAAAAAAAATGAAAATAAAGCTTTTGTATTATGTAAAACCTTATTGAAAATGGAGTGAATTTGGTTAGAAATCGTAGTAAAAATACAAATGCGTTTTTAATAGCTTATATTGGTGAATTTTACGAATTTGGAATCGGTGTAGAAAAAGACACTGAGAAGGCATTTGAATATTATCGAAAATCTGCAGAATTAAAAAATCCATATGGTTTAAATAAATTAGGGGATTGTTATAGAAAGAGTAGATGTGTGAATAAAAATTTAGAGAAAGCCGTCGAATATTATAAAAAGTCTAAGAGTTTACGACATCCATTGGGACTATGTAATCTTGGATGTTGTTATTATCATGGTATTGGGATTGATAAAAATGAAGCTAAAGGTATTTATTTGATTAGTAAATCTACCTATATGGGAAATGTTCGTGGATTGTATAAAGATGGGTTATATTCAGATAACAAATTATATATCGAAGAAGCCGCTGAAAAGGGTCATTCACACGCTTGTTGTGAAGTAGGTCATTATAATTTAAATGACAATATATTTGATAAATCTTTAGAATTTTTACATAAAGCTAGAGATCTAGAATGTAAAAGGTCACTTTTTTATCTTTCAGAATATTATAGATTAGTTTCACCAATAGATGAATATAAACGTTGTATGTATTTAAAAGAATATACTAATAAAGTTAAACATCGCATTGGTTATTAAGCAAATAATGTTTCGTTCTCTCTATTTAGAAACTAGTAAAATTTAGTTTAAGAGGTTTAATTCTTAATGTTGAAAGAATATAAGAAACTGTATCTAGAGATTAGGCCTGGTATAATTTAGCTCCGGGTTACCTGTCCGCTTATTAAACCCTTACCTGGGTAACGAATTAGCTTTCACGTGTTTGCAAGTTATAGATAGCTTTCAAGATTCATTTATTAATTCGTATCTTTACAAAATAACAATTTTTTTATTTAAAAAAAAAAAAAATGCTGAATACATGTTTGAAATCAAGAAAAAAAAAAATTCTATTTAAAGGGTACATTTTCTCTTGCCCGCACTCAGATCAAAGTTAATTAGTTGGTTAACATCAACATTTTGGGTTCAGACGCGAGGGAGATTTAAACAATCACATATGGGTTACATATTAAAAAATGATCTATAAATATACATATAAATTTTTTTTGGATTTTTTTTACTATACAATTAGCTCTTATTACTTATGACAAGCTTTTTTATAATTGTAACATCTAATTGTTGGATATTAAGCAATTAATACAGTTTTACGAAATAAAATACAAAAACTTCAAACAAAATTTTACTTCTAGAATAAACCAAGTTTTCTATCTTCATACCCAAAACTTTTATCCTAATGATTTTGAAAAAAAACACTCATCAGATAATATTATTAAAAATATAGAACCATAAAATCATAAACATTCTCGAATTTTTATGTGATAAACTCAAATTTTTACCAACCTCTATTGCAAACCCTTTCTGTCAACTCATAAAATTTTTTTACTTATCGCGTTATTGTCAGAATTATTTTTCTTTTATTGTAATTTGTTCACAGCAGCACGTGATTTGACGGTCCCACGGGTCTGGGCGATACCGAAAATTATCAATTGATAAAATTCAATATGCGTATAAACTTCAAGCGTTTCTGTTAACGCAATCAAGGCTGTCATTTTGTCTATATTTTAATTTAGTGGTTACCTAGGTTTAGCCCAATAAATCCTGATTTCGCAACTACAAATATGACTGATAAAATATGCCAATCAGATGAGTCTTCTAATTGCTACAAACTACTAGTTTATTCTATAGTTTTAGAGTTCAATTTACGAATCATATCACTGCTTCCACCGTATAAATATTTTAATGTTACATTCCAACTTCAAAAAAGCTTTTAATTCATTTAGGCAAGTTTGAAATTTTAAAAAAAACATTAAAAAAATTTGCTTGATTTCTATTGACTCAATCGTCGACCTGAT